AAATAGAAATATTTAAGGGGGGGGGGGTGAGTGCAGGCGCACGCCGGGCTGCATAACTTACGTAAGCCGCTGTCATCGCGGGGTAGACCTGGAAGAACGGCGTCACGACGTACAGCGGCCTCAGAAAAATGTTGACAGCGTAGGACAAGTAGCTGGATGAGGAGAAGTACAGGAGCGCCGCGACGGCGTTGAACAGCGTCTCCTGGAACCCGACACATACACGTCACTTGGTCACTCTGCATGCCGCCATGCGCGGGCCCGAGATGCACAGGGTTACTTGCAAAGAGAGAGGTCCTCAGGTTAGAAGCAGGTTACTTGTAAACAGAGAGGTCCTCAGGGTAGAGGCCGGTTACTTACAAACAGAGAGGTCCTCAGGGTAGAAGCCGGTTACTTGCAGACAGAGAGGTCCTTAGGGTAGAAGCCGGTTACTTGCAAACAGAGAGGTCCTCAGGGTAGAAGCCGGTTACTTACAAACAGAGAGGTCCTCAGGGTAGAAGCCGGTTACTTGCAGACAGAGAGGTCCTCAGGGTAGAAGCCGGTTACTTGCAGACAGAGAGGTCCTCAGGGTAGAAGCCGGTTACTTACAAACAGAGAGGTCCTCAGGGTAGAAGCCGGTTACTTACAAACAGAGAGGTCCTTAGGGTAGAAGCCGATTACTTGCAGACAGAGAGGTCCTCAGGGTAGAAGCCGGTTACTTACAAACAGAGAGGTCCTCAGGAGGCCGATGGACCTATCGGACAGCAAGTAGCAGACGAGCAGGATGCTGGCCGTCAGCAGGCAGGATGAAACTGTTGTCAGGAAACCGTCGTATGAGGGTCCCAGCGTCTGTGAGTGCGTCATTCCGTAGTTCAGAACCAGGCTCTGACACACGGCCGCCAGGACCTGCGCAGGGCGAGAAGGAAGCACAGTGACACTAGGGCAAGGGGGACAACCCTCCCCACACATCGATTTTGGAAGCAAATCAAAATTGAAACGGAAAGTTCTGGCAAGAACTAATCGCGTACCATACTTTGAGAAGACACGGGTGGTACAGCAAACGCAAACATCAAGGGGGACACACAGACAGCAAGGCGATCTCATAAACCTCCTGACAGAAATTGATGGTGGTGGGCATACACAGACAGAGAGCAAGGTGATCTCGTAAGGAAAGTAACAGAGAAAGAGGGAAATATAGGAAATATTAATACCAAAAAAATTAAAATGATTTTAAAAATTATTCTTCTATCCCGAATGATCTAGAGTCTTAAATGTATTAAACGCAAGTTCGTAAGGAGAGCTTCCCCTTGGAAAATGGCTCCTCCTCTCTGAAGAGGGGGAGGGGCTGGAGGTGTGAAAACAATGTCCACTTCTAGTCGTAGTTAGCAGGGCGGGTGGGTTTCATTCTGAACACAACTCACTACTTCAGACAGCTTGAGTTTGCCCTCCAAGGTCCTGAGGAACTGCAGGCCGACACAGGTGCAACAAGTGCAGCAGCAGCAGTGCAGCCCCCCACGGCTGGTCTCCGCACGGCTCTGCCCCACCCCCACGAGCCGGGGCCGCCCCACGATCCTCTTTCCCATTACCACACCACTCGACATTTCTTCAGGGTCTGCAACACACACCAGCCCATTGATTTACATTGACGGGTATACACGTCGAATGAAAATGGTTAACGTTCAATGGCGGACATATCCGTTACAAAGAAGAATTCGTAATTGGTAGTAATTTTCATATTATATTGAAAATTTATATCATGAATGAAAACCTAAAAGTCGTGTTATTTTCGTGCGATTATATGATATTATTGTCCGTGTTTCTAGATCTGAGCGTTCCCAACAGAATGCGCTGTGGATATGGTAGCAGGCACAAACAGCCTAGCGACAATCCTCGTCATGAATTAACCAGGTTTACCGTTAGTGGTAACAGGCACTTAAGCAGTTAGCCTGGGAACAGTCCTCGTCATGAATTAACCAGGCTTACCATTAATGGTAACAGGCACTTAAGCAGTTAGCCTGGGAACAGTCCTCGTCATGAATTAACCAGGCTTACCATTACTGGTAACAGGCACTTAAACAGTTAGCCTGGGAACAATCCTCGTCATGAATTAACCAGGCTTAAGCTGAGCCGCGCGTTCCCAAATTCTCTGCGTGTGGCCATTTGCTCTGCCTTCAGCCCGGCCGTCTGGCTTGTATTCTGAAGTTCTGCTTCCTTTCATTCTGTGCTCTTCTGTGTGTTCTAGCCAAGTCTGTTAATAGAGATTACTCTCTCCTGGGATATGACGCCGTGTACTCTGGTAGGAGTGTATACCAAGATTTTGGAGGAACGTGCTATTTCGTCTACCCTTCTACACTGAATATGCAAGCAGTATGCTCCTCCGAAACACTGGTATCCACCAACCAGAATCCACGGTGTCACAATCCAGAAAACTACGTCTATGAATGTTCACTGCCATGAAAAACCTTTTGTATATCCTGAGTGTATGTTTTTCTAATGACGCAGTTCGTGTGAATCGCTGGTTTTGTTAGTGGATGCTGAAGAGAAATCCCAAACGCAACCCTGATACACTTTTACTGAAAGTCGCTCTTCGGTTATTACGGACGAGGGAACACCAAGGAAACTGGCAACCGCAGTTTCCGAGAATTGTTACCAAGGTTGAATACGTGGAATTGAATGGAGCAGCACAAATTGATGAAGTGGCAACGCAACTCGCGGAAGACTGAGAAACTCGACTCTAAGGCAACTGAGCCAGCCAGTTTTCTCACAGTTGCGTTGCCGCGTAGTTTCCTGGTTTCAACTGTTCTATAACACGCTTCTGTGATTCGCTTGTTTCTTTTGATGGCACGAAAGATTGACGAAGCTGCTAATTTTGTTTTTGTGTTGTTAATTGAACAGGAGCCTGGTATATATATGACTAATGCCACGCGAACTATGCTAGGCGGAGAAAAATAGATTTTGCTTGGGAAAGAATTTCTCATGAGACGAAGGAGTCTGGATCCAGGTTAAGTTCTTTCGAAACAATATAAGCACCTAAGTTTAAAATGTCCCGGAAGAACAGACGCACCTAATATTTCTCTTCCTAGTACTGTATTTAAGCATCCTGTTGCATTGATATATCATTTATTTCACACATATAATTCTGTCTTAAATGCAACTGATATAGACACATTCTCCCACATTACATGTTTCGGATGTATACGGCCATTGTCAGGTGTCTTCTATCTTGTTAAAATTGTTGCACTGTATGTCCAAATTTCGTATTGCGTGTGAACGCATTACTTCCCGATTAAAACAAATTTACCTCAATTAAAACACATTAATTAACATCCCAGTGTTTTCCTTATGGTCGTTGTCTTCCCTTCTCACGCCGTCTCAACCACGTTCATGTCATGACAGGATCGGTATTATCTTCCATTGCAGAAGAGAAGCCCACGAAATTAAAAATTACAACCACGCATTAAGTCGGACGAACACACCCACTTGATATGATGTGAGTAACTAATCAAACATGAGTTTCTTCAGTGTGCGTCTGCTAATCTGTAAACCAGTTGCTGTTTGAAATCGGTGACGTTTGTCACAAATTACGGTTACATTGGTTACATTGCGGTTGTCAGTTTCCTTGATGTGCCCGCGCCCTAACACTCCTGCTGCTAGCGAGTTTCCATGTTCGAATTTCATCCCTAAAAAGGCAGTTCCAACGGTGATTTTCCTTAGTTTTCCTCAGTCCAAGGCAAATACCGGCATAATATCTCAAATTAAACTACTATCAATTCATTCCACGTCTACGCCGTTACATTGTGTTTAGCTCCGCGATTACTCCCCTAAACAGTATTTAGCCGATTCGTGTTTATAACTGAGATGCAGTGTTCTCTGTGAGGTACGAAACTGAATTCCTATGTGGACAAACAAAGGGACGCTCACTTACCTTCGAATACTCGTGCGGACATGAAGCCGGGTACGTGCACTCTGAGGCAGAGTTCGTCGCTACGAGGCGCTAAAATTAGGCGGCTTCCCCTCCCCCCACGGGGGCGGGCGGCGGCTCCAGACTGGAGCCAGGAAACAGACGGGGCTATAAATATTCCTCTGGTTCACCACACGCCGAGATTGTACAATGTTCTGATTGCTGCACGCCACTGACAGGGAGAACCGGAATTTTGGAAACAAAGATGGGGCAAATTAAAAGTTGAGGGGGCGGGGTGAGAACACGAGCTGTAACGCAGAGAGCCCGGTGTTTCGGAGGAACATATCGTCACCATCTTAAGGGTCGATGAGTAAGCCAAGCAAGAAACCAGCTGCTGCCTGCTTCATCACTGGCTTTTTTCTTCGACCCTGAAAATGGAAGCAACATGCTCCTTCGAAACGCCACTTCACTTTCAACGGACAACACGGATTTATTTCCTAGAAGTGACTCTTCATAACCATCGCTGTAACAACCTAAAATCTTAAATATTTAGTATGCTTTCTTATTTTAAGTTTTTCCCGAAAATGGGAGGGGGGGGCGATGTCTATAAGCCCCCCATCCCCCTTGCGCTTGTAGTATACTGACATGAACATGCAATCATAATTTCTGCGATTTGTGCACCTCGTGCTATTGTACTTGATCCATACACAGACGGCGAGAGAATGGAACGCGATTATTTATATAGTACGTGATAAAGTGTATCTGAATGTATTACACCACAATAGTCCTGACATACAGGTCCAGTAATAATGGAATATGCAATAGCTTAACCCTAGTACGTATGCAAAACGGCTAACGTATGGAAAATTTCTAGTGATTCGTCACAACCGGCGAGCAACTAGGAATAGTGCATCCGGGCACAGCACTGCCGTTTGCTGCCGGTCCCTGCGATCACTGCGCTGATGAATATAGTTCCTTCCCAGCCGGTCACTGCGATCACTGCGCTGATGAATATAGTTCCTTCCCAATCATAGACCGCGCAAACCAAACGTAACTGCACTCACGTGTTGATAACTTAAAAAAATAGGAATACAAATTGTTAACGGAGTTAAAGTGTTCGACTGGGATAAAAGTGATAATCTATAATTTTCTAATGATGTTATAACGACATGACTTTAACTGATACAATTATTTACCAGCATCTAACTTCCAGGTATGTAAAGAGGTTATGTAGCGTGACATTGTGAGGATGTTTTTGGACATTATCCATCGGTTAGCATATGAACATGGATCTGCCCAGAGTTACATTAATCCAGTACCCAACCATCCACCCCCTTTCTCTGTTCCTTAAGGGTAAATTTTAATATTATATTCCCATCTGTGTCTATGGGGGCATGCGGTGACGTTGTTGGTTGAGGCACTATGCTACAAGCCGGAAGGTCGCAGGTTCAAATCCCAATGTGGTGGATTTTTTCAATTGATCTAATCCTTCCAGCTGCACTATGGCCCTGGGGTCGACTCGGCCTTGAACAGAAATGAGTACCAGGAATCTTCCTTGGGGTAAAGGTTAGCTGGCATGTAAGGGTGACAACCTCACCGCCATCTATGAGCCGATTGTCTAGAAAATGTGTGAGCCTTAACGTCTCACAACCCTATGGACCTCCATGGCCTGTTACAGGGATAGCTTTACTTTTTTATTGTGTCTATATGTTCTGCGTGCTCTCTTTTCCATTACATTTTCTGGCCAAAACTATGTGTGCATTTCTGGTTTCTTCCATCATTATGGTTTGGGAACAAGATGGAAGAAATATAAAATGTGACATATTTTATGAGTGATATATTTGTATATAAAGTAAATGCATAGACAAAATGTTATGACTTCACAAAGGCCATGTCCAGGACTAAGTAATCTATTATTAACATTTAAGAACTTGAATATTAACATATCTGAAACATCTCTTGAGTGCATGTGATCACCACACAGTGATGCCGATCATTAATTCACTATTAGAAAGTTGCTGGATTCTATCTTCAACACACAAAGGGGACCATAATCGCCAGCTTAATACAGAGACTGCCTATCAAGATGCAACATACATTCAGAGATGCTTCAAACAAAGTATGACAGACATTGTACAACATAGAAAGCAAGTGTTTACTATTAGTTACATAAATAATAAGACATTATCAAAAACAATAGAATATGAAAAAAGTGTGCAAAAGCTGCTATCTTAAAACATAAATATATATATTTCTGTGCAGCTTAAAATATTTCATAAAATAGTTTGTTTGCACTTTTTGTTTTTAAAGGCAGCAAGTGTTGGCATGTGGCTGTTCCATCACGCACTGAGAGGCACTGTGCAACAGTAGAGATAAACAGAGTAATCTAGCAACACACTATACATGGCTTGTTCCTAGTGCAGCAGTGGGGTACAGCTCATTTTCAAATGTCCACAATCCATATGAGGGATTAAACTGTGTCTGAAACATATTTGAGGGTATGCCTTCATCAAATAGTGACAGATGTAAGATTTGGGGTTTCCACGGCAGTGACTATGAAGAAAGCAGTCTTCTGGGATGTAGCTATGTGTAGATATTGTTAACCGACGTTTCGGAGGAATGTATCGCCTCCATCTTCAGGGTAGAAGAAAAGAAAAAGTAGAAAGCCACGAGCGAACCAGCGTGAGCAGGTGCAAACAGTTTCCACCACTTTGTATATTGGAAATGCACTGAGCATGGTGGAGGGGCATGAAACTGCATGACTGAGTCAGAATGCTGGGGCAAGTCTGCAAAACTGCCTGCACAACTTGCTGGGCGGGCGTGGCAGCATTCAACATGGATACAGGCACAAAACTGATGCTCCTCATCGCACTGAAATAGAACCATGGATGAAGATAGGATGTATACTGATAATCCCTTGCAGTGGCTTTTTGAAGTGAGTTGGCCCAACTTTCCTAGAGGGCGACTGACTCTTCCGATTAAGTGGGGACTGGCAAAAGTAACTCAATGTATGAGCAGTGATCTCCTCCGGCATTGATTCGTATCATCAAAAACTGACTGTGACTGCTCCATTACATTTGCAACTTAACCGTCTGATTATATTCTAAATCCTTGCCTGGTAATTCATAAAGATTCCAAATTTACTGGATTCCGGGGCACTGTGGAGTTGAAGCAAATGAGAGAGCTGACTCGGAGGCAAAGCAATTGATCGAAGAAGGCAGGGATATATAATTTCTTTTATTAAAACCGTCACAACACAATTATATTAAGGTCAGTGCCTAGTTTGGCTCTGCAGGGATAGTCAACTATTATTACTAATGGCAGACCTCAAAGCCCAGTGGAAAAAGAAAAGCAAAGAGAAGCTTCACAGTTTCTGTCAAACACCAAAAGGGACAGAAAGAAAGCTACTTTGAAAGGTATTGCAACAGGAAAGGCTTGTCTCCATGGTTCCTTGAGACAAAACTGAAATGTCATGCCTTTGCATCAATAAACTATGTGACAGTAGGCCACACCAATCTTAAAGCAAGCCTAAACAGATTTAAGACTGCGTCCACAACAGAATGCAAATCTACAAGGTGAAAGCCGGTTCATAGTTTCCCCACTTCTTTGTTAAGCGTATACTTTCAGCTGTGGTGACAGCGATATGCCACCAGACCATCAGAAGTGAAGCAATCTGGAACAAAAATATTTTCTGTGTGTTTTGCTTGGTATCAGCTGTATGCACTGTGCAGCAGCTTACATGCCATCCATAGTGTTTCTTAGCTTTGTATATATCAGGCCAAGGATTGGGTCAACTGACCACCTGGCTAGTTCCCAAAAGTGAGCTTCCATGCATGCATCGCCATTGGAAGGGGACAGGTAATATGATTCTATTATTAGTGCCAGATCACACAGCAGAACTTCCATGTGACCTGACTTCCATACGAGATTCACTATTGCTTGTTAAACTGCAGTCCACACTTTAGACTTAAATAAATTGCCAGACAAACAATCAGTCTCTTTTCAGTTCTCTAAGAGTTTCAGATTCTAAAGAGTTCTGAAGATGGTGTATAACACTCAGAATTACTGGGTCTTTGGACTTCTTCCATTGTCCGGTATTCTAGAGACTAGAAAATGGGATGTTTCAGAAACTGGACCTGTTTCTGTCGTCAGGTGAAGGGGGAAGATACCTACTCAGTTGGGTCCCTTAGAAAGAGCTAACCAGTGATTGAGGCTAGCTCTTATTAAGGGACCCAACTGAGTAGGTGTCTTCCCCCCTCACCTGAGGATGGAAACAGATCCAGTTTCTGAAATGTCCTGTTTTCTACTCTCTAGAATACCGGACAATGGAAGAAGTCCAAAGACCCAGTAATTCTGAGTTTATAAACCTTCATTTATGATTTTACACTAACTAAAAGTAATAAAATCTTCTTCAGCAATCAGCAGCATCAATTCAGAACAGAATATGTGTGGTACCTGCTCACCAACATGAGAGAGAATTAAGCCTAGAGAAATTAAATAGCATTGAGACAAGGTACTATTGCACAGGCTGGCAGCTAAGCAACACAGAGACATGACACAACTAGATGGTTCACCATAACCTGACTTGCCATGTATGAACAAACTGTATGGTTGCCCATGCCCATTGCTGTTCATAGGTCACTGGTTGTTCCTGAAGATGGGGTCGGTCCCCCCCCCCCCCCCCCCCCACNTGGTTGTGTTGCGGGGGGGGGCGCCGCCCCCCCCCCCCCCCCCCCCGCTTAGTGGGATGTGGAGTCCAACTGGGTCCACTCGGCATGGTGGCCCCTGATTGGCCTATTCCCCGGGTGATTATGATGATGGAGAATTTGGTGGAATGAAGACTGGCAGCACTTGGAGAAAACCCACCCCAGTGCCACTTTGTCCACCACAAATCCCACTTGACCAGACCCGGGATCGAACCTGGGCTGCCACAGTGGGAGCCAGCAACTAACCGCTTCAGCCGAAGTCGAGGTCTTAGTGATGTATATATGAACAACCATGAGATCTGAGGTTCTCACATCAGTGACTGTGAAGTCTACTCTCCTGTCTACCGAAACACATGTCGTGACATCTCAGGAAATACAACAGTATTTATCCAGTACATCATTCCCTGATGATGGAGACAGGCCAGGTGTCCGAAACATCGGATTTCTATTCTTAACTGATGCCACTGAATGCCAGATAAGACCTTTGATTTGTTACTTTCACACATTTAAAACATAAATACAACCATTACAGAGTTGGAACTGACATGCCCCAAGCTTCATAAATATAAATTGATGATAACAAATGGCATTACAAAATAATTCCTCTGCGAACGTTATTTCATCACAAAGTCAGTCACTGAACACAGTCACCGTGTTTGTCTCTACAGCCCTGCCCCCCTGTAGGTCCGGATTGCCAAGATGGTGCTGATCAGGTAGAGGGCGGCATTCACCAGACCAATAATCTGAAATCACATGACACAACCAGCCAATCAGAATGTTTCGATAGCATCTGGATAACATAACCTGAAATGTCAGCATCTTCAATAACAGAACTAAAACTGAACCTCATCTTCAGCCAATCTGGGTTCGGCAGTGAAGCTTCTGATTTCTATTTGCAATGTATCTGGTTCAAATCTCAGCTAGGGCATTCGCAATAGGGCTAATACTGCATACTATTCACTACACACACCATCACCTCAGAGTTCAGATCTTGCCTCCAATGTCCATACTAGTGAGGGATTCAAATTTCATATTCCAATGAAATAGAGGCCATTTATTCATTTTATGGCCTATGCCCAAACTGTTCACAATTTTCCCGTGCTCTTCACAGAGTTCCAAACAGCTGTCTTTAAATTCATTTCTCAATCACAACTCAGAAAATTCTTGTTTCTTGCATCTTAATTATGTGTTCCATCCATCAGAACCTCTTTGACATGACTACTGTACCCATCCTTTGGGCACGTGGTAGCATAGTTGGTTGAGGCACTATGCTACAAGCTGGAATGACATGGGTTTGATTCCCAATGAGGTTGGATTTTTCAATTGACCTAAACCTTTCAGCCGCACTATGGCCCTAGGGTCAACTCAGCCTCTATCAGAAATGAGTACCAGGAATCTTACTGGGGAGTAAAGGGCAGTAATTATGTAAGGCTGACAACCTCACCGCCATCTGTGAGCCGAATGTCTAGAAAATGTGGGAGCCTTGACCTCTCACGACCCTGTGGGCCTTCACGGCCTGTTACAGGGATAGTTGTACCTTTTTTTTTATTGCCTATTACTGTACCAATCCTCTGAGTAAGAGTTCCTTGTTGTGTATTATCCTCTGTTCAGCCATTATTCTTTGCTGTGAGATCCAGGCACTATGCATATGCGTACATGTACTTGCAATCTGTGTTCTTTCTGTGACAGTAGGGACCATAATTAATATTACAAAACAATAAAATAAATGTCTGTGTTTAAAGGAAGGGTAAACATTTGTCTGGTAATTTTCCTATCCAGAAAGGTCTAAAACAAGGAGATGTTTTATCGCCACTCCTTTTCAACGTTGCTTTAGAGTTAGCAATTAGGAAGGTCCAGGGAAACCAGGTGGGACCGAAATTAAATTGGACACATCAGCTGTTGGTCTATGCCGATGATGTGAATCTGCCGGGTGATAATGCAGATACTATAAAGAAAAACACACAAACTTTAATTGACGCAAGTAAAGAGGCTGGTCTAGAAGTAAGCACAGCGAAAACTAAGTATATGTTACTGTCTCGTCACCAAAATGCAGGGCAAAATCATGACATAAAGATAGGTAACAGAAGTTTTGAAAATGTGGCACAGTTGAGATATTTGGGAACAACGATAACAGATCGAAACCTGATTCAGGAGGAAATTAAGAGGATACTGAACTCGGGTAATGCTTGCTACCATTCAGTCCAGAACCTTTTGTCTTCTTGTCTGTCTAAAACATAAAAATTAGAATATGCAAAACTATAATTTTGTCTGTGGTTCTGTATGGGCGTGAAACTTGGTCTCTGACATTAAGGGAGGAACACAGACTAAGGGTGTTAGAGAACAGGGTGTTGAGGAGAATATTTTGACCGAAGAGAGATGAAGTGATGGGAGGTTGGAAAAAACTGCATAATGAGGAGCTTTATAACTTGACTCTTCTCCAAGTATAATTAGAGTGATCAAGTCAAGGAGGATGAAATGGGTTAGGGCATGTAGCACACATGGCAGTGAAATGTAAGTGTTTTGGAATGATAACTTGAAAGAAAGAGACTTTTATGAAGACCTAGGCACAGATGGGAGGATATTTTGATGGATCTTCAAGAAAGAGGATGGGAGGGTGTGCGGTGGATTCATCTGGCTCAGGACAGGGACTACTGGCACACTCTTGTGAACATGACCACGAACCTTCAAATTCCATAAAAGTTAGTGAATTTGGAGGCGATGATGAACTACTAGCTTCTAGTACTGCTCCATAAAATGAGCAAATTAATTTCTTTTGAATGCACACCTCTCTATTTTTGTACAGTATATATTATTATTATTATTATTGCTAGTGGGGGGGAATAATTAGAATGACCAAGTCAAGGAGGATGAGGTGGGCAGGTCATGTAGCACGAATGGGGGAGACGAGGAATGTGTATAAGATATTGGTGGGAAAGCCAGAAGGAAAGAGACCACAGGGAAGACCAAGGCGTAGGTGGGTGGACAATATTAGAATGGATCTTAGAGAGACAGGATGGGATGGTATGGACTGGATAAATCTGGCTCAGGATAGGGACCAGTGGAGGGCTCTTGTGAACATGGTGATGAACCTTCGGGTTCCATAAAATGCTGGAAAATTCTTGAGTAGCTGCAGAATTGGCAGCTCCTCAAGAAGGGCTCAGCTCCATGAGTAAGTAAGTAAGTAAGTAAGTAAGTAAGATTGCTAGTGGGTGGGACTAAGTCCCTTGTATTGCAGCCATTTCTGGCCTATTGTACCAGCCCCAGATGATAGGTGAGGGTGATTGTGGAGCAACTGGTGGAGTGAAAATTGGCAGGGGAAACCTAAGTACATGGAGAAAACCTACCCCAGCGCCACTTTGTCCGCCATAAATCCCACTTGACCAGATCATGGATCGAACCCGGGCCGTACAGTATATATACATATATATGAGTATGCAGGAGGGCATGCGGTAGCATAGTTGGTTGAGGCACTATGCTACAAGCCTGAAGGTCGTGGGTTCAAGTCTCGATGAGGTCATTAGATTTTTTCATTTGATCTAATCCTTCCAGCCGCACTATGGCCCTGGGGTCGACTCAGCCTCTAACAGAAATGAGTACCAGGAATATTCTTGGAATGTTCTTGGGGTAAAGGGTGGCTGGCGCATAAGGCTGACAGCCTTGCCGCCATCTATGGACCTACTGTCTAGAAAATGTGGGAACCTCAACATCTCACAACCCTATGGGCCTCCATGGCCTGTTACAGGGATACCTTTACTTACTTTATATATATGCAGTTTTTATATGATTTGGCAAGTTGAAAGTATACATTGTTTCCTTATGAAAGCAAACTTGCCAAGGAATATACAAACACCTTGCTACCTCCTAAAAGCTATTTCTCTCAATCCATGGTTTGCTGTATATATACGAGAAGACAAACGGCGCATTTCAGATAACCCTGTCAAATACTTACAGCTGCTGCCATGTAGGCATTGTAGTAGTGATTCCGGTCATGATCCTTGATCTCGACCAGCAAGACAATACCTGCAGCTAGGTACAGTGCAAATCCAACGATATGATACATCACTTCCTGTAACAGAAGTACAGCGATTTATTATTGTAATCAGTGGCATTAGGTTTCAGGAGGAGCAAGACAGCCGACAAGGGGTGGTCCTCAAGCTTGGGGGTTGGGCGTGGGGCTAACAACGCCTCACTGTAAAAGGAATAATGTTACAAAGATTTTTACACACAGTGCTCAATAAAAAATTGACAGATTTTAATCATGTCAGCAGATTGTATGTTGTTTATGTGAAGATCTGAACCTTTATGTTGTTAACCCTTTGATAGTATTTGTATGCCAGACATCACGACAGAAGTCTTGAAAAATGTTAATAATCTTTTTGAGTCAAAAGCGTTTTAGGTATAAGTTACATAATCTAATAAGATAAATACTTTGTTACATAAATATTTATGTATCGCTCACAAAATGAGCACATAATATAAGACTGTGTCTATCCACACATTTTATCCATTGAAGTATGATTTGTGGTTGGTCAGTATCATCATGATGAGCACTGCAGGGTTCTGCCCTGAAGCTGGTCTACCAGACTACATGCCTCATGTTCCCGAAGACGGAGTAATCTTTACAGGATCAGGTGCTTAGTGCTTGTTGCTATGAATTCCAGAATCCCTTCATACTCCCAGCCATCCTAAGTCCTTCCATCCCATTGGTTGGTTGGTTGGTCAAAGGCAAGGAAATCGCCTTCTGTCTTTTCCTAACCTGAGGGCTGTTCAGAAAGCAACCTCTGGTGAGCTTTTAACAAAACATGCAGTGAGAAAAGGTTGTATTATATACAAAAAATACATTAGGTGTCAAAATGTACATGGCTGAGCTCAGAGGCTGTAGACTTCTTTCGCACAGGCATACAAAAACGAATTCCCTGATAAGACAAGTGCCTCGATTCTGGAGGTGACTATGTTGAGAAGTAGCCTAAGTATGTATATATTTTTGTATGTAATAAAACTTTTCTTTTCCCATTGTTTGTTTTGTTAACAGCTCAATGGAGGTTACCTTCTGAATGGCCCTCATATTTTTTCCAGTTTTGTTGGTATCCTTGTACCTCTTATATTTTGTTATGTTGTCTTGCACTGCTCTCCAAGTTTCCTTAGAGATCTGGTCTAGTCGTCTCAAAACATGCATTTGTGGTACCTATAATTTCTGAGAGTTTTCAAGGTTTGAAATATTTTTTTTATTACCATAATCAGATGTGCTTTTGATGTGCAGTTATGTAGGTTATTTTGCATTAACTCACGCTGATGTGTCAACATTTCTTTCCTAGGAGTAAAGCAGCAGGGGTATAAAGCTGATCACTCGCTTCTGTCTATTGCTGATGTTACGAACGGAGTTACGAGTATATCCCCACACTTCCACATATCCTCCTGGTGTGGAGCTTAATTAATTAAATACAGGTACAACTTTTACTTTAACTCTGTTACATCATTAATAGTGTTGTGTCTTGGTAACGTTAAGTCAGTATTCTTCTTCAGTTCTGAAATCATGTTCCATACATGAATAAAAACAGATGCTTTATTTTGTTACTTTACATCTGTTTCTATTTTTATTCTTTAATTTTATTCTGAATTATATACATTAACATGTGTGGCAAGTAATATGCAATACTGTTTACTTATAAATAGAAATCCTTGGTAAATCAGAATGAAATCTGAACAGAAAAATGTTCAGATCCCTTGGAATTTCACAGCTCTGCATATCAGGTGATATCATACAAAAAGTGTGGGTACTCACAAAGAGGGTCTTGTGTATCATGGAGGCGGAGATGAAGGACATAAGTGATGACAGCAGCAAGCAGAAGGTAGTGATGAGGAATGCTGTGGCGATCAGTAGAAAGAAGAGCACCTGAGTATAATATATCGGGTTTACTCGATATAAGTTGTTGTTAATGTAGTAAGCGATCAGTCCAACACACACAGCACCCAGGATCTGCAACAGATTGACCAGAGTCAGAGTCAGAGTCAGAGTTACTTTACAACTGTCGGTTTTACCACCAATCAGTTCATCTTGAGGCCCATGACCAGAGTTTTTTTTTTTTTTTTTGTGATTGAACTGTAGCGGTCAGAGTTCTCTCTGACCAGAAGATGGGTTTATCTCTTATGAATAGGCTCTGCATTTGTCAAGTGTATCGCACATGTATAACAGCATGTTATGGAAAATTCTCCCATTTGCACTATATACAAGTCCTCTGTCAGTCCAGGTTTTGCAAAGCAGATCATGCTTATATTACTTATCTTATGCTACAACGGCAGCTTAAGTTACCTGAACGGTCATAAGCTGGACTGCTGCCAAGTTTCACCCTCTTACATTTCCTATGTTTGGCTTCACCCATTCATGTGAATATATAAAAATTCAGTCTGTACCTCACAGGAAACACATTATGTCTCCGCTACCAAGCCCAACCGGTTAATGCTGTTTGGGGAAACAGTCGCTGTTTATTGTGCGAACCATATGGAACACATAAATACACTGTGTGTGCAGAATGTAGAGACTTTATATATAAGAATTCAGTCCGTACTTCACAGGAAACACATCACGTCTCCGCTACAGAGACCAACCGGCTAATGCTGTTTGGGGAAACAGTCACTGTTTATTGTGAGAACCATACGGAACACAAATACACTGTGTGGGTAGAATGCAGAATTTGTGAATGTTAATGCAGGTGGTACATGCAGTTACCATTGTGTTTTAAATTAATTTTTTATTTTGCGAGCAATACTCAATACTGCTGCGTTTACTTTTAATGACTGTAGAATTTAACGAAGAACTTGGGAACCTGAACTACTGATTAAATCACATTTTTGAAGTTGAATATGCATTGTTGCAGTTTACCTTAAGATATGTAAAAACGGGTACCGTCTTCTAAACTTAAGTCCTTTACCACAGTGTGTTTGCAAAATAAGTATGGTGTAACAGGGTGTATGCCAAGCACAAAAGAAAAGCAATGAAGTTTTGAGACGATGATGATGTAGGTTCATATTGTGGATTCTGCCACCGTGTTATCTCGTAGGTGGGTGCCGATGTTATGGGGAAACATCCTGCTTCATTTGGACCTAAGATGGAGGAAGTGACAGGAGGGTATGGTTAATTCACTTCATGTGTACTCTTCATCCTAAATTTTATTCAGGGTGAGCAAATCAAGTAAGCTTGCCTGAGAGGCACACACAGGACACACGAGAGAGTTTTTGTCAGAGAAGCTAAAGGGAAGAGATCACTTGGGAGACCAAGGAATGCGAGAGAGAGGATAAAACTGGCATGTGGACGGGGTTAATATGACTGAGGGTGAAGTCCAGTCCAAAAGGCTCTTGCCCCCTCCTCTATCTCTCTATGCCAAAAATAAAAAATATCACAAAACCGAAAGCCTATAAAATGTATATGTGATGACATCACCAAAAACAGTAGCGGAAACGGAAGTGGGGAACCACAGGAAACGTAACGGGGCGATAAGCTGGAGCGCTACATGTGAATTGCTTCCAGTCGCTCGACTTCAGATTCCGAAGCGGCTACTCAGTGAGCCCCCACCTGTCCTCACCCCCCAAACTCGGGACAGGTCTGTCGCTACACTGGCTTGGCCACTCCCTCTGGACTGCCGAAGAATCAAGGTTGGATTCCTGGCAAGGGCAACACAAACACCAGACCGGTTCTCGAACCCACGCCGCCTCATATCCCGCGGGTAAAGCAGCCGAGGCGCGAGGCTGACCACTCACCTCCATCTAGTGTAGAGGTGAACAATGGTGGAGCTATACCTCCAGGCCCTCGCGTCTTCATGGTGCGGTGCTTAATTAAGCATAGGGACATCATCACCTGGATTAAAAAGGAAGTGTCGCGCCAGAAGCACCACATATACCCGACCGAGCAAGTTGGCACAGCGGTAATTCAGCGGGGACACCGGCTGTTCTCATGTTTTCGTGGATTTTCTCAGCCCCTCCGGGCAAATACCAGGAAAGTACCGCGAGCCTTCCCAGTCATCCTACCATTTCTCATGAAACAAGCCACCGCCACACACACATGACCCGTTCGGTGGATCCGGGCGCGGGTGGAAGGGAGGATGGTAGTGGGCCCCTCTGGGTCAGGATAGGGACCAGTGGCGGGCTCCTGTGGACATGGTAATGAACCTCTGAGAGCGACTGTCAGCTTCTCAAGGACTCTGTCTGCCCCATGGAGTTATTAATTAAACACAGACGGGGAAGTTTGGGGGTAGACAACATTGAATAAGGCGCCATTTTCTATCTGAGGCTCCCACAGCGGCCACTGTGAAGGGAAATGCCTTCTGGGTCGTGTAGTTGTTCTTTCTGCTTGGTCCTATTCATCGATACTGAAGGCGGACGCAGTACGTCTCTCCGAAACGTCGGTGCACTTCTGCCGAATTACAGGGCTTTACATCCAAGAAGACAATGGTCTAATTAAGGGGCCATGCATAGTATTTAAGTATCATTGCATTAATGTATTTTACCTGTATACATAAGTTTCCAGCTCAGATGCAACTTATTATCTTGGCCTAACGAAACCAGCGCAACTCCGTGGAAAAATCTACACGTCGCTCTAACATGTGTAAGCATATACAGTAAACTAACGTAAATAAACACAAAAAATGTAAAGGTATCCCTGTAACAGGCCGTGGAGGCCCATAGGTTTGTGAGACGTCGAGGCTCCCACATTTCGTAGACAATCGGCTCACAGATGGCGGTGAGGTTGTCAGCCTTATGCGCCGGCCGACCTTTACCCCCAAAAAGATTCTTGGTACAAATTTCTGTTAGAGGCTGAGTCGCCCGCAGGGCCATAGTGCGGCTGGAAGGGTTAGGTCAGTTTAAAAATCCAGTGAACTTATCGGGAGTCGAATTCGCGACCTTCCAGCTTGTGGCATAGTACCAGAGACTACAGCCAACCGCTCATGCTCGTTCCTCGCTCGCGGATTTTCATACCCTGAAGATGGAGACGATTTTTTCCTCCGAAACGTCGGTTTACACAATATCTACACGGCGGAACATCCCAGAAAACGACATTCTTCAAGATAAGTTGCATCTGAGACAAGTAAATGGGGGGCAATTTCTTACATAGTCTTTAAGTTAAACTCGCCCGTCTGTGTGCGTCTTGGTGGCCTGAAGCAAACTTAGTATAGACGTCACATGCAATTTTGTAATAAATCCACGCTTCGAAACGCGTTTCCTGAATACCGATAATTGTCCCATATGGGGAACACATCCCGCAGCGATCTGGAGTCGAACTGTAGCCTCCTATAACTTTATTTTAAATTTCAGCCCCATGATATAATCACATGCCGACGCCCCAGATAGGCGCCGACACGCGCAGGGAAGTTACGACGTTGTGTCGTCACTCTTGACAGAGGAGAGAGGTCACTGGCCACCGAACTGGGTCAGTCTCTCTGGGCCCGTCCCACTGTTGCAGCATGACATTTCGCACGCACAGGGAAGCAGCAGATGGGCATGTGCCCCGTGCTGGAACATCACAGTCCTGGCGCCTACAGTAACGCCTTATAACGATCCCGAACACATGACCAACGGGGCAGAAATGTGTGTTTCGTTTCTTCCTACATCTTTCTGTCCGAAACATTTTTCGTTCCGATAAATATTTAGCGAGATGCGCGCGCAGAAACGCCTGTAGGTCGTGTTCGCCTTTCTTTTTGGCCCGAGTTTAACAAAAACCGGAACATGTCAACAGATTTTAGTAAAGCTCTTAAATACCAAATTTCAACACAATCCGCTGAATGGTTTTCGCGCAGTTACATGCGAACAGACGGATAAGTCAGGCGCCCGTTTCAACGAGGTCGCGCCAAAACCTCGCGCTCGGTTAATATACTCACGAACTTCTGTAAGAGGATTCTTTGTGTAAAGACTACACACCCTGTGACGTCAACCGGTGGCCCCCGTATACGTTACGACCCCCTCGTTAGAAGCTCTTATGGGGTGATGCGGAATATTACAATAAATTTGGCATTTGTTTTGCGTGGGTTCGAAACGTGGAGACATAACTTGAATTAAAACGCGTCTGAAAACAATTTATTCCCCGTAGGTACAGGGGGACGCAGCAATTCAGCAGTTTTGGAGGGTTGCTGTTAGCGGTGCTGCACTTTCGGGCAACACTGAAGTCCCGTCAGCGATTTGAAAGGTTAGTATGGGTGGCAAGGCGTCATTATGCAATGCGCCTGTTTCATGGCTAACGAACGCGTGGGTCTGCAGTTTGCATCACGAACTGCATTACCCCCACGTGATTAAGCAGGTGCAAGTTGCTCGCTGGTGTGAGCAGTTTGACGTGCTTCGTTTTCCAGATTTCAGCTTTTGGATTTATATCGTGCCCCTGTCACGTCTCATAATTTGATTCCCTGAAGACATTCCAGTCGGGGATCGACCCGGTGAATCTGGAAAGGAAAGCTCACGTGCCACAAAATTAGTTAACTAGTTACTTCGTCAAAAAGTTTGCTCCTACACCCACCAGATGTCACGTGTGTTCCGGCTTTCGTGTCTACAGGCTCCTTCTTCCTTCTAATTTTGTTACTGATGTTCACTAGAAGGATGTTGTGAAGTGCAGGTAGGGGACATGAATTAACACCAGGCGTGTTCATTCTTTCCCTGACTCACAAGAGACAAAATGTAGCTAAAAGAAATTTACTATTGAAAAGACCTGCATTTATGCCAACTGCATAAGCCATTTATGACATAAAATGTAGTTAATTTTAGTAGTATATTCAACCCCTCACCCCTATAATCCATTGCTGTAACAGGCCGTTGAGGCTCCCACATTTTCTAGACAATCGGCTCACAGAGAATGGCGAGTTGCGCCGGCCGCCCTTTACCCCTAGGAAGATTCCTGGTACTCATTTCTGTTAGAGGTTGAGTCGACCCCAGGGCCATAGTGCGGCTGGAAGGATTAGGTCAATTGAAAATCCTATGACATCGAGAACTGAATCCGCG